TCTGCAGATAATTGTATAATGTATGGCCAGCCTTACACTGACTGAGGGAACATGGAAAAAGAGGGGAGGGTCTAGCTGGGACTAAACCAACTAGCACTAAAAAGGAGGGGAAGACAAAGGAAGATAGCAAAGTTACATTAGTAAACAATCTGTAATGTCCCAAAAAAACTGTCAATGGGTGTCAGTATACTACAAAAAATGATGGCATAATGCAGTTCAATACAAGATATAGAAAATATATGAAAGCAGGGCAGAACAAACACAAAATATTTTCCTTCATGTCAGAGACACAGCAGGAAGTATTAAGAAGATATTTCCAAATTTAAAAGATACCTCCTCCCAGAACAAGTGTTCTGGGGGAGGGAAAGAGATCTCCTCAAATCAAAAAGCTTAGATTTCCTATCACTTCGTGTATCAGACAATGGTCCCTACAACCAATAGTGAGGAGAATATCTCCAACAGGGACACTGGGAGCAATAAATATCTAGCAGGGGTTGTAACCCTTCCATGTTCTATCCAAAATGAAACAAAAGGTTTCCATACTTTCATACCCTTTAATTTGTGCATCTTATTATATATATTGTTTTGTCTCCCTCCCCAGCAGCACTTTATTTTCTTTTGAAAAATTGAAGTTTGTGAGCTGCTATGTGAGGGATAATTACTACTGAGTGTTGATTGTGAATTGGCTGCACTCAGGGGCGGACTGACCATTTGGAAACTTAGGCACTGCCCGAGGGCCCGGGGTCAGTAGAGGGCCCCATGAGATGCCCCTGGTACTTTTTTCATAGGCTTTTTTGAGTTTGGGCAAGGACACAGGGGCCCCATGATCCCCTATTGCCCGGGGGCCCCATGAGTTGTCAGTCCGCCCCTGGCTGCACCTAACACATACTCATACTATTTGCCAAAATGTGGCGCGCTTCACTTACAATTTGCTCAAAATAAATAATATACAGTATATGGACACTGTTTTTGGGAAATCGATATTGGTTGCTTCATTTATCTTCGTATTTCTTTGATATAAATAGTAGCACTTTGTATGCATATATTATTTATTTTGATCATTTGTAAGTGAAGCGCGGCACATTTTGGCAACTTTATCTTCTTTGCGCTAATGCATTTCATGAGTATTACTTTTTCATGATCTTACCTGTTGATATATCTGAATAGATGCAGCTTGGGATGTCTCCGCTCCTCCTACACAAAGGGCCCTTGTCACCAATGACACCGTCCTTATCTGCACCTTCTCAGTGGATAAACAGTTGCTGGATCTTAACTTTCTGACCATCTCATGGATCTTCCAGGGAAGAGTTATCCTGAAATATGACAATAAAGACTTCTCCACCCAAGATCCCAGGATGTCCCTCAATGTGGAATCCCTGGAACATGGATACGCCTCATTATATGTATCCAACGTGACCATCTCTGATAGGGGCACCTATGTGTGTATTGTTAAATACAGCACTGAAAGCAAACAGAAGGAGATTTCATTCAAAGTGTTCGGTAAGGGCACCTACTGGATAACAACTGTAATTGTAAATGTCCAGTTAAACATTGCTTTACCCTTACCCAGTGAAGTGACTGGCCTCAGGCGATACACAAATCCTCCTACATAAGTTGTAGCCATTTGTCCTGTACATCCTTGTAAAACTTAGAGATAAAAAAGATTTTTCACAGACTCACAAAGTGGGGGGCGGGGAGCTGCAGTTACACACTGTACATGAGCTCTGAGAGCTGATTGGAGGGAAGGGACACCCCCCCTTCAGACAGCTCACAAAAACACACTTCAAGGCTGTCAATCACCAGATGTGTGCCGGAGCTCCCTCCCCTGTCACCTTTTAACATTTGGTGTCAGGAATACTTTTCAGAAGTGACTCTTAATGATAGCAGAGGAAAAGACAGCAGAGAGAAATGACACTTTGTACTTTGGAGAGAGGCAAGTAAACACTGTAGAAGTATGTGCTTTGTTCAGATTTAATGTCTGAGGTTTACAACCACTTTAAAGAGTAACTCCACTTTTGTTGAGAAAAATCGTTCCACTCTGGGTGATCTCTTTATGAGATCTGATAGATGTCTGGATGACCTGTACATTGCAGGGATTATAACAAACATTGTTGCAGATTCCTACCTTTTTGTTATTATGAAGAAAGAGCTGTTTGTTTGTCCATGTGCCCATGTGCAGAGTGAATCTGTATGGGAGTGGTTTTCTAATTAGCAATCAGCTCCTGCACCTGCAGGGCTCTAATAAGGAAAGTGGCAGGGTCTGCATCCCTTTACATGTGATTACCATTAGGGAGTTCTCACTAAAAATGACATTTTTGTTGCAGGGGATGCCGAAAATCTGACTTGTATCTTAGTGCAGACTTCTGGGAAAATCAGTAATCAATCACACAAGGGAAATGACATTCTCAGGGTGTGTGTTATGTAGATCTGTACAATATGACATGTCGCAATTTTAAATACTATATAATTTTTTTTAATTTGCTCATTTATTTTCCCACTACAGTGGAGTTACCCTTTAAGCTTTTGGTAAAACAATATAATATCATACAAGTGAATGTACATCTAGTTTCTAACTCCATGGCTTTTAATTTGCCAGAACACTTTGTCTCATAGACAATTGTTTTGGTTTTTTTTCATAAAATACTGCATTTATGCTTTTTTGCATCTTAGTGCTGCTGATCTCTAATCTTTGTTCAGCATTGTCTTTACATCCTTGTTCTGGACCAGCTTCCTGATAGTGACGCTGGTGGATCATATCTGCTCATTGTGTTTCATCACGGCTGTTTGTAGTCCGTATTATGTTGTGATGCACCCTTCACAGAAACTTTCTAGCCCATGTGACAACAATCTAAGCACAAGCACACAAAGAGTGGTTGTCACTGAGGTGGGATAACTGAGCGGTCAACCCTTTACACACACGTCCCTATTTATTTTAATTAAAAGCGCATCCACTTTTGCATTTCTGAGCTGTCTGTATCACTAGCGGTCACCCTCCGGCAGAAATATAACAGATTTTACACTACGGTCCCTTCTTCACAGGGACCAAGTACTTAGTTTCAGAGCATTCAGAGATTCAATTTAACAATGTTTAAATATTGCTTTCATGAAAAATAGAGGAAACAATGCATGAAATTGTAGCACCCCTCTTGTCAGGTAGGGGGAACTAGCTAGTAGTTGTTTTTCAGCTAGAAATGCTGAGTAGTAGCCTGGGCCTGGAGTCAGAGGGTCATTTCAGGTCAGGGCTGATACGCTCTGAAGACCAGTTCCCTGATACCTACCCCTGCTCTAGAAACTGAGGAGGGGCTGGCCTGCACACTTAATGGATCTTGGTCAAACCCCAAGCAGGAGGCTTGGCATGGGGCCAGGGCAGTCTTTAACTGTGACTGAGCCACCTCAGCAGCAGGAGAGTTTGGGTGGAAGATGTGAGAGCAGGCGGAGATGTAGGAGCCTGGGAGGGGGCCTAGTGGGAAGCGGCCTACCTACAGGCTGGGACCTTCGAAGGAAGATCACTTAGCCTCATTGGCCCCCAGAGTGAGGACCACCTGTGGAACCAGGGAAGGAGCCAGCCTAGCAGAAGGCCTAAAAACAGCTACCAACCCACCAGCTCACAGGAGAGGAATGAGTGAGTAATCCTGCACCCCTGGGCCAGATAAGGGGAGAGTGCATTCTGGTGGAAACCTGACTATAAATTGGTAAGTAGTGCCGTGCCCTTAAAAAATGTTTATATAAGTATACTGGCTAAAATATACTAAATAGTAATGATCATAAACACTACATAAATAGATCAAGGATAATACATATTTAAATTCAATGAAAATAATTTTCCAATATGTACGTGAAAAGAAATATTTTCTAAATCATAATAAATTTTGTGTGAAAATACAATATGAATAAGATAAAAATAAATTTTTGATTTTCCTTGTTAGCCTATTGCTAGTCTAACATAACTTCTGAATAATTAGAGTGGATGGGATCCCTTGGAACTCCCCTGGGTTTTTCTGGATGGATTTCTTCTAATAGTAGCTGATGATCTCTGCTTCCTTAAGCTGCTGGATATACTTCCATCTCCCTATTTCCTTGTTACATCCCCCGGAAGAAGCCACGTGACTCTGTGGCGCAACATGTTGGGGAGGGGCATAGATGACACCACGGCAACCCGACTTCAGTTACGGCGAGTATAGACAGTGCATGCTAACACATGGAAGAAGCCTGTCACATCCTTACAGAGCGATTTTACTTAGTACAAAGCGCTTTTTTAACTTCATACATGTGAGTGCATCAAGAGAGCAATAAAATATACTTTTATATAAACGATAAGGCACCATATACCTCTATTTTTCTTCCACTATACTAATGAGGAAAATAGGGTGCTCTTAGAAACCTTCAGTGCAGTAGATTTTTTTTTTGTAGCCTTCCCTAAATCTATGCCTTGCAATAATCCTGTCTCTGAGCTCTGCAGGCAGTTACTTTAACCTTTGGCTTTTAATTCTGATACAGTATTCATTGTCAGCTGTGAGGCTTTTTATAGAGAGGTATGTGTCTTTCCAAATCATGTCCAATAAATTTAAATATACCACACGTGGACTCCAATCAAGGTGTAGAAAAATCTGAGCAACAATCAAGAGAAATGGGAGATACCCGAGCTAAGTTTCAAGTGCTGTTGCAAAGGGTCTGAATACTTATGTCAATGTGATGTTTCAGTATTTTAGTTTCAATAAAATAATTCAAAGACCTTTTCTAAAATTCTGTTTTCACTTTGTCATCATGGAGTACTGAATGTAGATTAATGAGAAAAAAAAAATGAATGTAATCAACTATAGTATCAGGCTGCAACATAACACAATTGAACCTGTACCTGTGTTCCTGCAGCCAAACCGCTACTCTCCATACTCAGCGCGAAGGTCCAGAGAAATACAGAGAACACCTTGACCTGTAATGCCACTGGATTCTTCCCTCCAGATATCAGGATAACGTGGTACAGAAATCAAGAGGTCCTGAGAAATCAGTTCATGGGAAAGCCACAAATCTATAAATATGGAACATACTACGTGGACAGCAACGTGACAATCACACCGACCAATGATGACCAGAACGAGATCTTCTCCTGTAGAGTCCGACATGACTCTCTACAAGAACCTCTGCAGAGGGACTTCCTGCTTGTCTATGAAGGTATGAATCATCATCCACTTCTCATGTAAAATATTTTTTAAATTAAGCTTGTCCTTAACTGCATAGCAATTAACAATGAGGTTGGAATATTGAACGTAAACTTTTCAGGACCGTTAGAGTACAGTTTAGGGCCGGGTCATCTGTCACTACGTCCTCTCCCAGCCTCAGAACAAGGTTCTAAATAACTTAGGAGTAAAAGGTGTTGGTGACTTGTTGATAGCATTGGTCACATAATATATTTCAGTATCATGGGATTTTATGGGTATGGAAATCTTTAACATTCACCTTTGATCAATTTCAAACCTATATTAGTAACTTATCTTTATTTAAAGCTATGGACAAAATTTTTCAAAGCTAACACTTGTGTAACGCTGGTGTACTCTCTGATGCTGAACCCTGCCCACGCATGTGAATCCATATATAAATATGTTAAGAAAACACCTTCTTTTCTTTAATCATTATTTTATTTTACAGATATACCATACCATAACATACCAGAGACACCGTACACTGTGGTGATTGTAGTCTGTATTCTGGTTCTGATTACGATAATTGCAGTTGTGATTGGAATATTTTTGTGGTGGCGAAAATACAGAAAAAAAGGTAATACACATGAAAACTTGCAAATTGTTGTACTTTCAGGTATGAAAATTATATCAATATATACTATGTCCTCAGGGATGGTGCTAGACTATTTTGCACCCTAGGCAAGACCTTCTACTTGCAGCCCCCCCCCCCAAAAAAAAACCCCAAATAACTTCACCTGTAGTTTTACTTCACCCCTAGTAGCACACATCCTCTTTCCCCTACAATTTTCCACCCTAGCACAAATCCTCTTCCCAAATCCCTCCTCCCAGCATTAACCCCCCAGTTCCCTCTCCTAACACAAAGTTACCCTTCCCAGCATAAAATCCCCCCACCTTACTGGGGGGGGTACAACTGAAACCTGGGGGGGCGTAGCACCTCCCCTAGATCTGGCCATGGTGGAGAGTAGGGAAACCAGCAGCTGCGGCTGCACCGTAGGTGGCAGTGTGTCCTAGGCGGCTGCCTAGTTCACCTAGCGGTAGCACCAGCCCTCTGTGTCCTTATTGAATGTTTATGTTACCAAAAGCATACTATAATTTGCCTGTAGATAACATCTGAATGCCAGGTATGGTTCTTATTGCAAAGTCACATCTGTTCAGCTTGGGCCAATATAAGTTGGCCCACATGTCCGCTGACATCCACCGCTCCATAGAGAGCTATGGATGGTCTGATGGGGTCTGCCTGGAAAATAGGCAGGCGAACCTGATTGATAACCCAGTGTGAAAGGGGCCTAAGTTATAATGTGTAAATTTGGTGTGTATAGTTTGAAAACATAACAGCTGGAATTTTCATGTAATGTAACAAATAAATGAGCAAATTCTTAATCAATGAATTTGTAGATGTGAGAGTTTTTACAATAATGGACATTGAAGGTCCTGCCAAGCTGATTGCTGGAGAAGAAACATCTCTATACTGTAGAGCCACCAACTGCCTAGAGAACACGAGTGTGACTTGGCAGAGAAGAGAGGAGAAACAAGTCTATGAGATCCCAGAGTCCCATGGAGGAGATACGGAGGAAGAGGAGAGACTGCTGAGACACACAGTATGGGGTCCTATCATGCATAGAAGGACCAAACTACACATCTTCACTGAAGTTCAGACCCAGTGTGGTCAAACACAAAGATGTGACCTTCATCTGTAGATATAGCTGTGGGAAAAAGAAGAAAGAGAAAACATTTCACTGCCGAGCTATTTATGGTGAGAAGTGTCTATTAATACTTCCATGGATTTTGTAGGGTGTTGTATATTAATGGTGTGATCATGTTTAAAAGTAGTTGAGCTGATATCTACAGTTTCCAGTCATAGAACTATGGCTTTAGTTCAAGTAATCATCTAACAATAGTTTATCATATCATAATCCAGCGAATACACTCACCGGCCACTTTATTAGGTACACCTGTTCAATTTCTTGCTAACACAAATTGCTAATCAGCCAATCACACGGCAGCAACTCAATGCATTTAAGTATCTAGACGTAGTGAAGACAACTTGCTGAAGTTCAAACCGAGCATCAGAATGGGGAAGAAAGTGGATTTAAGTGACTTTGAACGTGGCATGGTTGTTGGTGCCAGACGGGCTGGTCTGAGTATTTTAAAAAACTGCTGATCTACGGGGGCATAGCCTTCCCATTCCTGTTGAAGAATTGGTTTGGGGTGTTGGCCTGGAATTTCACAGAATTTTCTCATATACATATACAGTATAGTGATATTCCAAAGGCTATGAAGGACATTAAGACTTCGCTTTACGGAGTATAGGTATCTTACATTCTTCATGTCAAAAATATTTTACTCATAATGTTTATGTCGTATCATTTCAGCTAAGCCTCAGCTGATACAGCCGGTATCAAGAAGTCTAATTTTTTCAGGAGTGTTTAAATATTTGGTCACTCTGGAGAAATTTTTCCCCAAAGATATCACACTTAGATGGACACATGGAGTGGGGGAGCCACAAGAAGCCTTACCATCCAGAGAGACATACACAGATAATCCTGATGGGAACTATAGTGTCTACAGTGAGGTCACATTTCCTGAGAAGCTCCTGAAGGATCCAGAATTCAGAGTACGAGTGATCTGGGAACATGAATCTCTGGACACACCGGGGTATAAGGATCTATCTATCAGAGACTTAGGTGAGTTACATGAAGGTGTCACCAACAAATATATAGACCGGTCAGCCAGAATCCATATGAAAAGCACAGCTCCTGTAAAATAGGGGGCTTTCTGTATAGTCAATAACTGGGGTGCCTCCAAAGATGAGAGGAAAAAAAAAGACAGAGGCTGTGGGAGAGTTCCTTATGGTTTGACAAATATTGGATGAAATATATGATGAGAAGATAAATTGCAATGGTGTACTCACATCTGTGAAGGTGCTGAGCTCCGTTATAGGGGATCAGACAACCTGGAGTTAGAGCCTGCAGGGAATATGATTGTCCCTGTGCAGAGTAAGGTCACTCTTGATGTTCGCTGATCCGGATGATTCTATGCTCCGCGGTCTCAAAATTTCCAGTATGTTCATATTAAGAGGTTTATGAGCCCCAAAAGATGGGGAAAGTGGTGTCAGCAGAGGCTCCCGAATGTGAAGGAGAATCTGAGAAATGGATTCTTCATTGATTCTATATTTATTGCTCGCAGAATAGTATAAAACACCAGCAATGCGTTTCGTGGCACTACACTGGCCATTTCCTCAGGATGGTGCCTAAAGCCTTTTAAACAGCTGTGGTCTGTCTCTAGTGCTCTGTTTGTGAGTGTGCTAACTTCTCCTTCACATTCGGGCCCCTCTGCTGCCACCACTTTCCCATCTTTGTGGCTCATAGACCTCTTATAGTCAATAGACAGTAATACTGAACAGCAATCAATCTACTATGAAATGAGGAACCACCAATTCAGATCAAATCTGAGTCATCCTTACATAGAAAGATCCAAAAGATATGCGTGATTGGAACATTAAGGCACATAGGGCACACTAACCCAAAATCAAAATTATGTCACCAAATTATATAAAACCCATGCAGTAAGTTTATTACAGATTTCTGAAAAAAAGTTTTTTGCAGATAAAAAAAAACATGGCTGTCATATATATCCACACCCTTAACGTATTACTAATCCCCGGACCCTGCATTCACCCTATATAGTCTCCCACAGTACACAGAACATGGAAATACAAATATTGTAGTAAATATAAACTGCTAAATACCTTTTCTCATCAGCAGTATATAGCAGTCTTGTGACTTCTATCAGTGTCCAGCAGAATACTGGTTAAAACTTGTAGGAGGAATTTTCCTCTGGCTGTCCTATGAGGCTGCATAATCCCTGACCTTCTGTCTGGACAGTGCCGATTGGCCCTGTGCTGATAACATGCACCCCCCCCAAAAAAAAAAAACTCTCTAGCAATACACACTAAACTGAGCATGGCCAGATATAGTGAATGGAGGGTCCAGGGAGAGCAGATATAATGAATGCAGGGTCCGGGGAGAGCAGATATAATGAATTCAGGGTCTGGGGAAACCGGATATAGTGAATGCAGGGTCAGGGGAGAGCGGATATAGTGAATGCAGGGTCTGGGAGACCAGATATAGTGAATGCAGGGTCCAGGGAGATCAGATATAGTGAATGCAGGGTCCGGGGAGACCAGATATAGTGAATGCAGGGTCCGGGGAGACCAGATATAGTGAATGCAGGGTCCAGGTAGACCAGATATAGTGAATGCAGGGTCCGGGGAGACCAGATATAGTGATGCAGGGTCCAGGGAGAATATAATGAATGCAGGGTCCAGGTAGACAGATATGGTGAATGCAGGGTCTGGGGAGACCAGATATAGTGAATGCAGGGTCCGGGGAGATCAGATATATTGAATGCAGGGTCCGGGGAGAGCGGATATAATGAATGCAGGGTCCGGGGAAATCAGATATATTGAATGCAGGGTCCGGGGAGAGCGGATATAGTGAATGCAGGGTCCGGGGAGACCAGATATAGTGAATGCAGGGTCCGGGGAGACCAGATATAGTGAATGCAGGGTCCGGGGAGACCAGATATAGTGAATGCAGGGTCCGGGGAGACCGATATAGTGAATGCAGGGTCGGGGAGACCAGATATAGTGAATGCAGGGTCCGGGGAGACCAGGATATAGTGAATGCAGGGTCCGGGGAGAGCGGATATAGTGAATGCAGGGTCCGGGGAGACCGGATATATAGTGAATGCAGGGTCCGGGGAGAGCGGATATAGTGAATGCAGGGTCCGGGAGAGCGGATATAGTGAATGCAGGGTCCGGGGAGAGCGGATATAGTGAATGCAGGGTCCAGGGAGATCAGATATAGTGAATGCAGGGTCCGGGGGAGACCAGATATAGTGAATGCAGGGTCCGGGGAGACTGAATATGGTGAATGCAGGGTCCGGGGGGACCAGATATATGGTGAATGCAGGGTCCGGGGGAGACCAGATATAGTGAATGCAGGGTCCGGGGAGAGCGGATATAATGAATGCAGGGTCCGGGGAGATCAGATATAGTGAAATGCAGGGTCCGGGGAGACCAGATACAGTGAATGCAGGGTCCGGGGAGAGCGGATATAGTGAATGCAGGGTCCGGGGAGATCAGATATGGTGAATGCAGGGTCCGGGGAGACCGGATATAGTGAATGCAGGGTCCGGGGAGACCAGATATAGTGAATGCAGGGTCCGGGGAGACCAGATATAGTGAATGCAGGGTCCTGGGAGACCAGATATAGTGAATGCAGGGTCCGGGGAGACCAGATATAGTGAATGCAGGGTCCGAGGAGACCAGATATGGTGAATGCAGGGTCCGGGGAGACCAGATATAGTGAATGCAGGGTCCGGGGAGAGCGGATATAGTGAATGCAGGGTCCGGGGAGACCACCAATTCAGATCAAATCTGAGTCATCCTTACATAGAAAGATCCAAAAGATATGCGTGATTGGAACATTAAGGCACATAGGGCACACTAACCCAAAATCAAAATTATGTCACCAAATTATATAAAACCCATGCAGTAAGTTTATTACAAATTTCTGAAAAAAAGTTTTTTGCAGATAAAAAAAAAAACACATGGCTGACATATATATCCACACCCTTAACGTATTACTAAACCCGGACCCTGCATTCACCCTATATAGTCTCCCACAGTACACAGAACATGGAAGTACAAATATTGTAGTAAATATAAACTGCTAAATACCTTTTTCTCATCAGCAGTATATAGCAGTCTTGTGACCTCTATCAGTGTCCAGCAGAATACTGGTTAAAGCTTGTAGGAGGAATTTTCCTCTGGCTGTCCTATGAGGCTGCATAATCCCTGACCTTCTGTCTGGACAGTGCCGATTGGCCCTGTGCTGATAACATGCACCCCCCCCAAAAAAAAAAAACTCTCTAGCAATACACACTAAACTGAGCATGGCCAGATATAGTGAATGGAGGGTCCAGGGAGAGCAGATATAATGAATGCAGGGTCCGGGGAGAGCAGATATAATGAATTCAGGGTCTGGGGAAACCAGATATAGTGAATGCAGGGTCAGGGAGAGCGGATATAGTGAATGCAGGGTCTGGGGAGACCAGATATAGTGAAATGCAGGGTCCAGGGAGATCAGATATAGTGAATGCAGGGTCCGGGGAGACCAGATATAGTGAATGCAGGGTCCGGGGAGACTGGATATAGTGAATGCAGGGTCCAGGTAGACCAGATATGGTGAATGCAGGGTCTGGGGAGACCAGATATAGTGAATGTAGGGTCCGGGGAGAGCGGATATAATGAATGCAGGGTCCGGGGAAATCAGATATATTGAATGCAGGGTCTGGGGAGACCAGATACAGTGAATGCAGGGTCCGGGGAGAGCGGATATAGTGAATGCAGGGTCCGGGGAGATCAGATATATTGAATGTAGGGTCCGGGGAGAGCGGATATAGTGAATGCAGGGTCCGGGGAGACCAGATATAGTGAATGCAGGGTCCGGGAGACCAGATATAGTGAATGCAGGGTCCTGGGAGACTGGATATAGTGAATGCAGGGTCCGGGGAGACCAGATATAGTGAATGCAGGGTCCGAGTAGACCAGATATGGTGAATGCAGGGTCCGGGGAGACCAGATATAGTGAATGCAGGGTCCGGGGAGAGCGGATATAGTGAATGCAGGGTCCGGGGGAGACCAGATATAGTGAATGCAGGGTCTGGGGAGAGCGGATATAGTGAATGCAGGGTCCAGGGAGACCAGATATAGTGAATGCAGGGTCCGGGGAGACCAGATATAGTGAATGCAGGTTCCGGGGAGAGCGGATATAGTGAATGCAGGGTCCGGGGAGACCAGATATAGTGAATGCAGGGTCCGGGGAGAGTGGATATAGTGAATGCAGGGTCCTGGGAGACCAGATATAGTGAATGCAGGGTCCGGGGACACCAGATATAGTGAAAGCAGGGTCCGGGGGACCAGATATGGTGAATGCAGGGTCCGGGGAGAGCGGATATAGTGAATGCAGGGTCCGGGGAGACCAGATATAGTGAATGCAGGGTCCGGGGAGACCAGATATAGTGAATGCAGGGTCCAGGGAGACCAGATATGGTGAATGCAGGGGTCCGGGGAGACCGGATATAGTGAATGCAGGGTCCAGGGAGACCAGATATAGTGAATGCAGGGTCCGGGAGACCAGATATAGTGAATGCAGGGTCCGGGGAGAGCGAAAATAGTGAATGCAGGGTCCGGGGAGAGCAAATATAGTGAATGCAGGGTCCGGGGAGAGCGGATATAGTGAATGCAGGGTCCGGGGAGAGCGGATATAGTGAATGCAGGGTCCGGGGAGAGCGGATATAGTGAATGCAGGGTCCGGGGAGAGCGGATATAGTGAATGCGGGGTCCGGGGTTTAGTAACACTTTAAGAAACTGCTAGTCATAGGAAATCACATGGATCTATTTCTGGATTATAATGGAGGGAGATGACGCAATGGATACAAAGGTTAATGAAGGATATCTGAACTTTCCTATTCTCAGAAAGAATTGTGTTTGATTATTTATCCCAGGGAATGTAGATCTGCAGTTGAACAGCTACCATCTATACTAAGATTTCTGTAAATGGTATTGGTATGCTATTGTTCAGATCTCTGTGCTGATTTCTTGGGCATGCAAAGCTTGCTGTGTGGGCTTCCCACCATTTCAGAGCTGGGTTCCCAAAACTGCACACCTGCTGTACTTATTATGAGGGGTTCCCACCATCCCTGTACCAAGCCGCTGAATCTGCACACCTCCTGGGCCAGCTATGAGGACTACTACAATTCCTGCAATTCCCTTATTTGCACACCTGCTGTGCCCATTATGAGGGGTTCCCCACCATCCCTGTGCTGAGTTCCCGGGTCTGTACACCTGCTGTGCCCATTATGAGGGGTTCCCACCATCCCTATGCTGAGCTCCCGAGTCTGCACACCTGCTGTGTTCATTATGAGGGGTTTTCGTCAGCCATGCTGTTTTTTTTATCATGGAGAATGTAACAGGAACACATAAAGGTGGGTCCCGCCTGCACAGAATCAGACACTATGGCAGGCAGATCTCTCTTTTCCAGTATCCATGGCGTATAAGAAGGCAGACCTTTTATTTTTCATCACATACATGAATAACAGCTCTGTGAATGTTAGTGACAGAAATCTCCCAGTTGTTCTCCTGTGTTGTCACCCTGTAAGGGCCGTGGATAAGGGGGCACCACCAGTCCTCCTGTATGGGGCCGAGGCCAGCAGGGGGGCCCAGGAGCTGGGCGAATTTGATGTGGGCAGGGAGGGTGATCAGTATGGTGGGGGGAGAATTACTGGAACCGATCCCCTGTTTTTGGCTTTCTGTGCAGCAGCTGAAAGAATGCTTCTTCTCCCTCCCGCTGGCTTTCAGCTGCTGCAGAGAGAACCATACAGAGGATCGGTTCCAGTAATTGCCCCCCCGCGCCGCACTCATCACCCTCCCTGTGAGCCATATGTTTTCCCCTTGTTTCCAAGGCCCCACCTATGTGCCCCCACCCCCGCAGTGCTGCCAGCTTCCCTCCTTTCTTTCCCACTGGCAGCCGCAATCACACAATATGATCATTCAGGATGGAGAGTGAGGGAAAGGTCTGGTAAATATTTCACATGTACCATCTCCTTCCTTTCCTTAATGAACACAATGAGTGATAAGTACCAATCACTGACAGTGTTCATTCATAACTGAAGCATAGGAAACTGTTTTGTGTATTTTGCGGGGGGGCTGCCAGGTTGGCTGTATGGGGGTTTTACTAACAGCAGCCCTTCACCCTGTCACATGCTACCCTTGTGGGGATCACAAGCAACTATGCTGACACACATTTCCCTGGAATGGTCCATCATTGTCACTAGAGATGAGCGAATCGAAGTAGGGAAGTGGAAAATTAGCATACTTCGGATGCGAGAATCAAAATTTTTTCCTAAAATGGCGGGCGACATGTGCGGCGACGTAGCGGGGATGTCTGGGAAGGCGAGCAGACAAGGCGCGCTGACCCATAATGCATTCATTAATGACATGTGATCGCATTAGCCAATCAGCAGCCAGCCAGCCAGCACTGTGTAATGGTCGAGCTATAAATGGCGGCCATTTTAGAATTCTCCATTTGCCTCCAGTCATTCAAGAGAGGCAGACCTCTCTGTATTAGGGACAGAGTTTGGGCCACAGAAACGTTACTTAGGGACAGAGAAACGTTACTTAGGGCCACAGAAACGTTACTTAGGGCCACAGAAACGTTACTTAGGGACAGAGAAACGTTACTTAGGGCCACAGAAACGTTACTTAGGGACACAGAAACGTTACTTAGGGCCACAGAAACGTTACTTAGGGACAGAAACGTTACTTAGGGCCACAGAAACGTTACTTAGGGCCACAGAAACGTTACTTAGGGCCACAGAAACGTTACTTAGGGCCACAGGGCCACAGAAACATTACTTAGGGCCACAGAAACGTTACTTAGGGCCACAGAAACGTTACTCAGGGACAGACACAGAATTGTTACTCAGGGACAGACACAGAATTGTTACTGAGGGACAGAATTGTTACAGAATTGTTACTCAGGGACACACAGAATTGTTACTCAGGGACACAGAAATGTTACTCAGGGACAGGGACACAGAATTGTTACTCAGGGACACAGAATTGTTACTGAGGGACACAGAATTGTTACTGAGGGACACAGAATTGTTACTCAGGGACACAGAATTGTTACTCAGGGACAGACACAGAATTGTTACTGAGGGACACAGAATTGTTACTGAGGGACACAGAATTGTTACTCAGGTTACAGACACAGAATTGTTACTCAGGGACAGACACAGAATTGTTACTGAGGGACACAGAATTGTTACTGAGGGACACAGAACTGTTTACTCAGGGACACAGAACTGTTACTCAGGGACAGACACAGAATTGTTACTGAGGGACACAGAATTGTTACTCACACACAGAATTGTTACTCAGGGACAGACACACAGAACAGAATTGTTACTGAGGGACACTCAGGGACAGACAGAATTGTTACTGAGGGACACAGAACTGTTACTTAGGGACACAGAATTGTTACTGAGGACACAGAATTGTTACTCAGGGACACAGAATTGTTACTCAGGGACAGACACAGAATTGTTACTCAGGGACAGACACAGAAACGTTGTTACTGAGGGACACAGAATTGTTACTCAGGGACAGACACAGAAACTTGTTACTCAGGGACACAGAATTGTTACTGAGGGACACAGAATTGTTACTTTCAGGGACACAGAATTGTTACTGAGGGACACAGAATTGTTACTCAGGGACAGACACAGAATTGTTACTCAGGGACACAGAATTTGTTTACTCAGGGACAGACAGAATTGTTACTGAGGGACAGACCACAGAATTGTTACTGAGGGACACAGAATTGTTACTCAGGGGACAGACACAGAATTGTTTACTCAGGGACACAGAATTGTTACTGAGGGACACAGAAATTGTTACTGAGGGACACAGAATTGTTACTGAGGGACACAGGGGGACACAGAATTGTTACTGAGGGACAGACACAGAATTGTTACTGAGGGACACAGAATTGTTACTGAGAGGACAGGAACTGTTACTCTAGGGACACAGAAACTGTTACTCAGGGACAGACACAGAATTGTTACTGAGGGACACAGAAATTGTTACTGAGGGACACAGAATTGTTACTGAGGGACACAGAATTGTTACTCAGGGCCACAGAATTGTTACTCAGGGACAGACACAGAATTGTTACTCAGGGACACAGAATTGTTACTCAGGGACACAGAATCGTTGAATTAAAGACTATGTCAGACAACATGCAGAGGAGTGGCAGAGGAGGCAATGTTTTAGGAGCGAGCAGACGTGGCAGCAGAGGAAGGGGTCGAGGCAGCACTAGTCGCAGCCAGAGGCCAGTGCTCCCGGTGTCATCCAGCGGTCGTGTCTCCACCGACAACCCTGCCGTCATCGATTGGTTGGCTCGGTCGTCTTCCTCTTCCCAGGTCACCTCTGACACCTACAGCCAACGGTCGGTGGTACGTCAGACACAACCGTTAGTTGGCATGGCCCGGGAGCAAGCCCACTGAAATCACGTGTCCTCTACCTGCCCCTGTCCTTTGGTGTTCCCTCACCAAGCGAAGTATCGCATGCTGTGGGCTCAGCCCCACTGTACAGTGAGGAAGAGCTAACAGAGGGCGGTCAGGAACGGGGGGAGACATCCGCCTCTTCAGCAGCCAGGCGAAAGAAAGTACTGGCGAGGAGTGTGGCTCGGTAGCCGGTCTAGAGACAGGTCTGTCTCCTGACCCACACGCAGCCGAGGGGGCTAGTAGTGAGGCGGAGACCCTACTTGATGATGAGGAGGCTGATCGCACTTGGCCCTCGTCGTCATCAGGCTATTGCTTCCGCATCATCAGGAGAAGAGGGTGCCAGCTTGGCAGCAAGCAAAACAGTCGGTGGGTTGCCCAGGAGGCAGCAGGGTCGCAGCAGTGTCAGTGGAGGCAAACGGCCACGGAGTAAAGCACCAGCTCCACTGCAGCCTACCACCATGGCCAGTAGTGGTGCCGGTGTGCACGGAGGAAGTAGCAGTCAGCCAGTGAGGAGTAGCGGGGGCAAAGTTTCCTACTCGGCGGTGTGGCAATTTTTCGGCAAGCCGCCCGAGGAAGTAAACGTAGCCGTATGTCGACTATGTGGCCAGAAAGTCAAGCGTGGCCAGGGGGCCAATGTTGGGACTACAGCGTTGCGTCAGCATATGCAGCGTCGCCATTCGGTGGCCTGGGAAAACCATGATAAAGATACGGCGGTTCTGCCTGCCCCAGCCCCCGCTCCATCACCCGCTCCGTTACTTGCTCCGTCACCCGACGTCAATCGCCCTCTATCAGCCAGTCAAGGCTCCAACACCTCTGCTGAGGGGAGTTGTCGCTCGTTGGCATCTTCCGCTCGTTCAGATGCTCCTTCTCCTGCTACTCCTCTTCACGGATTCCGTCAGCAGTCTTTCTTGGAATCCGTTTCCAAGAGACAACAGTTTGCGAGCACGCACCCGACGGTGCAAAAGCTGAACGTCCTCCTGTCCAAGTTGCTGGTGCTGCAGTCCCTCCCTTTCCAACTGGTGGACTCAGCACCTTTCCGAGAAATGATGGCTTGTGCCGAGCCGCGGTGGAGAGTGCCATGCCGGCATTTCTTCGCCAAAAAGGCAGTGCCAGCCCTGCATTCACATGTAGAAGAGATGGTGGGCCAGTCTTTGAGCATGTCGGTCTCTGCCAAAGTGCACGGCAGCGCCGACGTGTGGAGCTGTAACTACGGTCAGGGACAGTACATGTCATTTACGGCCCACTGGGTGAACGTGGTGCCGGCACAGCCCCACCAG